CAGGTGGTGTTGTATATCTGGTGGGATTGGACGAGGATTGCTCATTACGCGCTACACTCGAAAATCAGATATTTAATTACTAATGGGATCGATTAAAGGTAGCAAGCGATGAAAATCAATCAGAAGAATGTTTTCTTCCGGCAGGACAACACAAAACTGAAAATCTCTTTTCGGGTCTAGTTGGAATTGCTAAAGAATTTGGAAAATATATGGGTCTTATCTTTCATCAAATATGGTATGTTTCACAATTGTTAGCATAATTAAATTTACTACCAGTTTTTTTCGAATTCAAAGGCGCACGTCAAAGACAATAAACGCCGTCGGGAGAAGCAAATGCTAACAACTGTACAGCACCTTCTGTTTAACCCATAGCGTAATACTCATTAATACGATGAGAAATAAAATTATAATAATTTATTTGTTGGGGGAATATCGATAGGCTGAATAAATAGCGAAATGAAATATTCTATCCTATATAAGACGAACTATTAAAAAGTTTTCGAGACAGATTGCTAGTAATCTACATTGTGAAAAATGATTTTCTATCCGCCACACATGCCCATAGTTAATGTATACACGTATGCCTGTGTTGTTGTCAGGTGTCCAGAAATTGATGTCGCTTTCTTTCAGCAATACATCTAGTCTTACCGTAGCCTAGAAGATCAGTGTTTATTTATTTTGTAAATAATACAAAATTGTGGCACAAGGCCGAAGTGGGCGTGAGGAAAGGTTGGTCTTCCACTAGTTATCCTATTCCTAGTTAACCACAATCGCGACCAATTCATTCATTACAATTACACATTCACCACAAAAACTCATCCATCCTCTATCACTTCATCACACACCACAATACCTCATATACACAGGGGACCTACCAAACACCCCATGAACTAAAAATTTAATGTTCATATATATATATATACATATGTATCCATAAAAATTCAATGAAACACAAAATGATGGGGAAGGGGATATGAAACCCAATAATAAAATCAAAATATCAACCGAAAACAAAACAAAACCAAAATAATGTTAGTAAGACCCGTCTACCTCTCAAAATAATGCGAGTGGCCGCTGTATTCTGTCAATAGACAAAATCAAGAAGCACACTCACTAACGGAATGGAGAGGTGGAAAATAAATGACGGAATGGGTAAATCAAAAGCTGACTCTGCCGAGATGAAAAGTGGGGACAAAAACAAACTGGGGAGATTGGGAATCTCGACGTATGCCATAACAAAAGAAAAGCCGGGCACAGGCCAGGAACAACACTTATTCACATTAACTAGGAACACAAAATAGAGACTACCTTAACCAGGATGGGGGTCCATAGGAAACCGCCCTGTTGCACTAAAGGGACTTAAAAAAGAAAATCAAGGCTAGCTCCGTCCACACGAACCAGGCTCGCCATAGTTACTCAACTTTCGCTGAAATCTGTCGAAATCAAACGCTTTCGATCCGAGCTGATTTTCACCCCGAGCTGGTGCTTAAAGGACAAAATCCGATCCTGATACAAAAAAAGATCATTTCGCAAGATTCCATCCTTTCACGACATCTACACGACCATTCTAGCCACGGCTAGCAACGTAAAAAACACCGTCCGTTTTACTCCGGAGTACGGGGGCGACTCATTGTCAAACACGTACGCGAGATCAATGGATACGAGCTGCTCGGGAGCGATACGAGCCGTCAACTCGCCGACATAATCCCAGAAAGGGCGCGCCGAGGACAATAGTAGAAGGCGTGCGAAGCCGTTTCCTCTAAACCAAGGTCACACCGGTAACAATCTGGCAAATCTGCCTCGCCCATCTTAAAGAGAATGTCACTGAGAGGTAGCACATTCCGAATCAATCGCCAGCTAAGCGAAAACTCAGGGTTGGTGAGATAATCTGCCGCTGGCACCCAAGACCAGAAAGAGCGCAACTCTGATGCCGACAAGCCGAGCCGGTCACCCAGAGGATCCTTCGCGACCCCCTCCACTAACTCATGATACAATAATCTCCGACGCCGAAAAAGGTCCCTGGACCGAGGAATGACCTTCAGGGCCCACCGACACTCGCTGAGGAACTTCGACAACCTTCCCCGACCGCCACGGCGTTTCCCCCAAGAAATAGGGGGAGTGATGGTAAGGCAAGGGAAAGCATCCCTAACACTCGGCGCCAATATCGAGTCCTCCGTCAAAACGCGGCGTAGGAAGGCCAACATCAAGGCATGGCGATGACTCTCCAGGTGTGGCCATTCCAGTTCCCCATGACACGGACGCTGACAACAGGCTTCTTTGCGGACCCAATGACTGCGACCGTCCCAACAAGCGCTCGATCGCCTCGATACGTTTCCTGCAAAGAGGAAGTACAGCCAAGCGGTAAAGGATAAGGGGCAAGACGTAAGTGGCACACGCCTCGGCCCTACCCTTTAAGGACAACCTCCTTCGAAGCCAAGTTCGGACCGACGCTCCGACCTTTGCCTGTACTTCTGAACAATTCATTTCCAGCTGGAGTCTGGGCCCGAACCATACACCAAGGATGCGGACAGGAACATCCGTCCAGCCGAAGGGCCCCGGAAGCGCGACTGCCTTCGGGCACCCCTGTCGTATCGACCGAGTCAGCGCAAAAGCGCTCGACCGCCTTCCGTTCACTTGTACCACAGCACTGGGGGAGCGATACAGGAGGCCAATCCACCTGCAGAAGTCGGGTTCGAATCCGGCGGCCTGCAGGACAACAGCCAGGTACTCGTGGTCGACCCTGTCAAATGCCTTGGACTGATCCAAATTTATCAGCGCGGCCTGCTTGTCGTCTTTTACGCCTTCTATGATCGTGCGGATCAGATGCAGGTTGCTTTGAAATGTTCGTCCCCTCACAGCACAAGTCTGCTCAGGTCCCAACAAGCTCGCGACAACTGACTGCAAACGCTCCTGCAGGATCTTGGCCAAAATCTTTAACTGTGTTTAGCAGAGTTATGGGCCTGTAATCATCTAATCACCCCCCCCTGGAAATCCGGTTGGGGATGGACCCCTGCCGGAACCAGTTGTTGAACACCACTGTCAAAATCGGGACAAAAACGTGCGACAGCCTCAAGTACATTTCGTAGGGCAGACCATCAAGTCCCGGCGACTTTCCTCTGCCGACCCTCCTCAATGCCAAGTAGACTTCGCCCTCTGTGATCTCAGCTTCGCAGCTAGCCGCTTCAGTCGGCGAGAGCCGAGGAAAGTCAGACAAATAGCTGCGAAAATCGTCGCCACTGAGACCAGGCTCCTTGGTAAAACGGCTCTCGAAATGCCGCCGAAACACCTCGCACATATCCTTGGTCGACTTCAGAGCACGCCCCTCTGGGGTAATGACCTCACGAATGTATCGATCGGAACCTCGACGGATCTCTTCCTTGCGCAATTCTGCACCCATGTTCACGGCCTCGTTAGACATCTTGTTTAACCTATGTCTAACTACCTGACCCTGATAGCGCTTGCTAGCCTCACGCTTCAGGGCCTGCCTAGCTATGGCTATCTCTAGGGAATCCCCCCAGCCACCGCCCGGGAAAGACTATCCTCTAAAGTCTTCACCTTTTCAGCCTTATGTAGGGAAAGTCGTTGGCTAAATTCAGTGGAGAACACCCTAGTCCTATCCTTAAGATTCTCCCACCACCTACTCCCAATAACCGCCCCACTAATTCCCGCTGCACTACTCTAGTTAGCTATTGCTGAAAGTCCCTCCTTGTCCAGTAAGGAGAGATTGAACTTCCAGTGTCCAGCCATCCTAGGCCTAGTACCTAACACCATCCAGGCACAGACGAGTCTGTGATCTGAATAGTCTAGCCGGTGGGAAGTGGGACAATCTAGTCCAGGTAGCTGGCTACCTGGAGAGACGGCCAAGTATGAGCCCACGTCCACATCTCCCTCCTCGGATGATCAACCCGATATCTATCGACGAGCCCTAAACTCGCCGATCAGATCAACCAAGCTTCGATCGGCCTATGCCTTCCCGCTAGCTCCCCGCCACCTATCTATGTTGGGGTCCAGGACGGCATTCCAGTCCCCCATTAAGACTAAGCGCGAAGAATCAACCAGGAACGGCCCCAACTGACGGAAAAAATCGACGCGCTCACGGAAACGCACCACTGCTCACGGCAATATCAGCCACGATCAACCTCCCCCCGCCCACATGAACAAGGTCTATCCTCGCCCCCAGGGAACGTTTAACCAACAAAGAAACACCTCTGGCCTGATGGTCCCCATATGCTGAATAGACGACAAAGTCGCTAGACTGCACACAAGCATCAGTCTCGCAAACAAAGTGTGTCTCCTGGATCGCAGCCACATCCACTCCGAAGGACCTGAAATGAAAGAGCACGCGGGCCGCCTTACCCCGATCTCTCAGGCCCCTCATATTCAAACTGGCTAGCTTAACAGACATATTTTAAACCTAGTTCCCCTCAACACAGACTGGCCGGAAATCTACGGGTGTCAAGACCCCGACGGATTTTCCCAGATTCCCGGTACCTACATCGGACGTAATTCGTCCTTCTGTGACAATACAGCCAACGTCTGTGGGGAAAGTTAATTTTACCACAATATATAGTGAGGGATGGAGAAGAACTGGTGCTCTCCCTGCACAATACTGCGCCAATTTTTTAAGATCCGGTGTTTCCGTCTGAAGCATCCGGAGTTTCGGAAATGCATCTTTTGCTTCCGCCAGATAATCCCAATGCCTCTTCTTTTTGTCTTTGGATTGGTTGAGGGGGGGGGAAGACGGAACCCTAGTAGGGGAAGAGTGTTGGCTTCTCGTCTTACCTTGTTGACGATCTTTTCCCGTTCTGTGTGGTGATGCCGGCGCGGAAAATACCTTCTCGGCCTTACTCCGACTTGCTCTCCTTTCCTTCTTGTAGTATTTATAAAGTCCTCTTCTTCCTCTTCGTCCTCACCCCTTCCTGTCTTCAATGACGAAGATCTAGGTGGAGGCACCTCCTCCACCTCCATACATGGGTCCACTTGTTGGACCTCTTTCTCAGCCAGCTGCTGTTGTTGCTGCTCCAGTTCCTGCTGCGACGGTTGCCGCTGCTGCTGTTCTCGCTGCTGATCCCGCAACTTTTGTCGCTGCTCCCGCCGCCGCTTCACCTGCTACTGCTGCTTCAGCTGCTTTTGTTTAGCAGCCCTTTACTGCGGCCATCCGACTTCTGTTGATGTTGTTTGACTGCCACCCGTTCCTGCTGTTGTTTTTCTCCCTCCTTATCCGGGACGTCCTGCAGTTGTTTCGTAGCCGCCTGCTCCTGCTGCTTCTTTGTATCAGCGTTCTGCTCCTGCTGCTGGCTGACTGCAGCCTTATCCGGGAGCTACTACTGCTGCTGCTGCTGCTGGAGAGGTGAGGTTGCCACTTTTGCTCTCCTCGTCATCACTTCCGTCCATTCGCTACCGGAAGCTTTCTTCGTTGATTCTTCTCTGGGCACCTCTGATGATGGTACCGGTGCCTGCTTCGTCGACGGTGCTGGCTTCTTGGTTGGATACGTCTTGGCCAGGTGTCCAGCCGCACCACAAACCCAACAGAAGAGCCGGCGACCCTCAACCACCACAAAAATGTTTCGGTTACCACACAGAATTGTGTTGGGTACATCCTTAAAGCTTTAGCGGTTCAATGTCACCATGACCTCCATATCACCGGTGGCAATCCCCGCCTTACTCCTGATGGACGATACCCCCCCCACGGGGCTGTAGTCTGAAAAGAAGGCCCCCTCCTGGTCTTTGGTAATGTACATAGGCACATCGTGTAAGATAATCCTTGTTTTCCGAGTGCCCATGTACTCCGTTTGCAGCCTCATTATTTTCATGGTGAGGGTGCATCCGATCAGCGCCTTTGCAGCTTCCTCCGTTGCCAACAAAATGTCCCAGCAAGCGTTTGATCTGCGTGCCAAGACCTTGGCCCCGATGTTCAAAGCCTTTAGGGCTTCTTCCATCGGATCCCTATTGACCGGTATGAATTTCCTGGTCTTAATATCGACAGTCAATAGGGAGATTGTCCTTGTTGTCACAGTCTCCATGACCGAAGGCATTGGTACAAGTCCATCTTTCGCAATGAACTCCTTAAACTCTTCGCGACGACTCCTGTAATAGTCTGGCCCTTTTTTCGGCTTTTCCGAAAGCAGATGGTGCAGTAGATGTACTGGCCGAAGGCTCTTTTTCCTGGGCCACCTCCGCCATAGCGGGAGTGTATACCCCACAAAAACAAACAGTTCCAACAATAAAAAAGAAACGACAATGTCTGACTTACATTGAATCTGGTAATTCCACGCACAAAACGTCTACTGGCGTACGCCACAAAACAACACTGTAAATACTAGTAAATGCCTAGAAGAGCAGTGATCCCTCAAGTCCACTCGCCTGGTTTTTAATAAGTATCGTTGTTCTCTTATGCAAATAAGACTGCTGCATAAAAATGGCAGCAGGCGTACGCACGCGCGACCGACTCTCAGAGAATGGTTCGACACGCGAGGCAGCGAATTCGTTTTGCTCCTGGTAAGTCACTGTCACGTCTATTACACTCCCCCTGATCGTATGATCATATAAGTGACAGTGAGGGGCTGGTCGTTTCACCCTTGCACTCCTTCGTGGTGGTATAACCACGTCTTCCTCCCCGACTGAATCGTCAGATGTGTCCTGGTCTGAATCATATTCCGAGGGATCAATAAGGGTCAAGTCTACTTCTTCCTCGCTCTCAGACGGGGTGTCGCTACTGCTTGCACTGAAGCTTTGTTCTTGCCATCCATGACTCCCTGACGTTGTGTCACCGCCATCATCCGCTGATAACAATGAACTGAGCCGTGGACATACATCTCCCACGTGCCGCGGTATCCCGTCGATGACTATCGACTGTGGACTGTTTATCCCCGTGACACGACCTCTCACAAACTTTGACGTGCAGCGTCCGTGTGGATTTTTTACCCAGACTGCGTCTCCTTCTTTATACCGAGTCGAAGTCGCCTGGTTAGGCAAGGATACAACGTCAATTACTTTTATTCTAATTTTGTACAAATGCAGAAGATTGGCGGGTGCATAAGAGGCAGACACGTCATCACTGGGTGTGATGTTATACCAATACACGGCCTCCATAATAGGGCAGCTCTTTCGCGCAGCAATCCGTTTGATTGTCCGATGACACCTCTTTACAATACCATTTCCAGATGGTTTGTACGCGCAGCGCGGTCGGAATCGGACGCCCCATTCTTCCGTGAATTGTTTGAATTGCTGACTGCGGAATGCAGTGTCATTATCAGCCAGGATCTCCACAGGGGCACCACGTTCGAAAAACACCGACTCCAATTGCCGGTTTACGTGTGCAGCGTCTTGCCGAACTAGCGGCCGCCAGATCGAAAACCGTGTGGGGCCGCAATCGATCAGTGTCAAAAAATGACGACCGTTATAGTGCGTGATGTCCATGTCTAGACGGCTCTAAGTTTCACGCATACTGAGCTCTCTCTTCTGCCATCGCACAGAAGCTGGATCTATTGACTGACACTGTTCACAACGCCGAACGACCGATCTCACTGGTGCTTTCGACACGGTCGGGTTGATTCTACGTGCGAAATATACTGTCCGTTTAACTCCAGGGTGCCCGCTCTGTCGATGAATCTCAGTTAACTGAGTAGGGCTCGGGTTTCCTACGGCAAAAGCACATACTGGTTGAACAGGTTCGAGTTCCTTCACATTGTTGAACCACCTCTGGCGAAATCTAGTCAGCAAGTCAGCTCGGTTCTGGTCGGATCTAACTAGCGCTATGTCAACCGAAAGGTTGTACTCTTTCACAAGAGAAGTTAGCGTTTCAAGTCGTCGTCTTATGAGCATCTCTCTAGCGCCCTTGGTGTTCAGCTGAGACTTTCCCGTAAGGGCATTAGCCACACAATGGTACACGCAGAGGGAGTCTGTGTTCACGTGTAATACCGTAGCCTGCCATTTTAGCTCGAGGTTGATTCCTTTTAGCACGGCATCTAGTTCAGCCACATTGATATTCTGTATGTTTTTCATCGGCCGTAGCCAGCATGCATCCTCGATGATGGCTCCCTTAGCCTCGAGCGCTACTCCTACAGCCAGCGAACTCGCGTCCACCTACACGTCTAGCTCCTTCGTATTCACGCACCATTCTCCCTGTGCAGGATCCAGTTGCTTTGCCCGGGCGAGGGTGTCCGTTATCATACGTTCCAGGGGAGCATCACAAATTTTGTCGTCCCAGTTTTGCGTTACGGCAGTGGCTCGACGTTTGATGAAGCCTGTCGCCACTCGCAGCCATCCACACACGGGGAAGTGTCCCACCAGCTGGCCACACATGGAGAAAATACCACTCCGTGTCATAGTCATAGGGCCGTTTACCATTCTACTTCCTCGTCACCATCGCAGTCGAACCTGTTCCTTCCATACTTCTAGCCCCAGCACTGTGGCTTCGTCCTGTAACTTCTCTGGATCCTTGCTCGTCAGTTCGTAGAGCTCGAGATTTTTCCTCACCGATTCCGCTGACGCCACATCCTCGTTGTATCGTCAATATATGCCGACGTTGCTCTATTTATAGTTTCATTCTGTGCTAACACAGCCTTGATCACAGCTCGCAATACCAGGGGCGCTACATTCAGGCCGAACCCCAGCCTGGTCAAACAATATCGCTTCCCTTTAAACATAACTGTTTGGTATGACCACAGAGATTTGACACGGATCTGTAGGTATGCTTTCCTGAGGTCCAGAATGGACACGTTCTCTCCCTGTGCAAACATCCGCGGTAACCTGTGAATGTGTCAACGTAGGTATTCAGTTCCCGATAGTCCATTACAGGACGCACCTTATGCTTGTTGATCTGCAGCACGGCCATCAGCGGTATCAGTCCCTTGGGCGGGTCAAACTCCTTGTCACTGTACGGCACCAACCAACCATTGTCCATCCATGTTTGCAATTCATGCTCGTACTCCTCTCTCATCTCGCTGGATACCGGATATTCAGAGATCCGATTCTGAAGTTTCCCTGGGTTAGCTTAACTCTGTGCTTGCATGTGCTTGCACTATTCAAAGTACACAGATACGCCCGTGCGTGCGCATATTTGGACTTGAACCCGACTCAGTAAATACGTAAATCCCTACTTGAATAGGACGTTATATATTCCTTTCTCGTTTTGTGAATGTCATGTGTTATTTCTGTATTTATTACTCATGCATAATCTTCTAGAAACATAATGAAAAAAGCAACGATAAACATAATCTCTCTTAATTTGAATGTGACTGGTCGCTCGATCGATGACATTTGATTTCGATAAGTGCAAACTCACAGAGAAAAATATAAGTGTAACCCATTGGAATCATAAATTGCCAGTTCTACATCGAGTATATATAATTATGCGGCAATGAAAAGAGTCTACAACAAAGAAAAACTCTGAGACAAAGAAGTAAATACTCTATGTTCTATGTCTGTATTCATCGTTGTCTTGTGACACTATTGTGACACTGATAGTATGAAATTAGAATTAAAGGGTTCATGTGAAAACACCATATAGGAATTACAGAATTGGAAGGGTTAAGAATGTTAAAAAAGTTGTTGTGAAGGAATATGGTACAAGGAAAAAAGCGAAAAGATTTTTTCCTTTCTGTCAATCAGAAACACCGAATGGAATGTTGAGTCCAAATATGATTTCAGAAATGTAAAATATAAATTGAAATACGAATTGAATTGTTATAAATCACAAATCCGGTAATGTAAACAATCTTGAATGTCGTTTTGTAAAATGGGCAAAAAAATTATTTGAGTCGTATTGCTAAATCGACAACAAAGGAAATTCTTTGACGTCAAGGGCGTAGGAAAAATCTATAAACACAAGTTGTTGAAAAATTATTGTTTTGGATCAGTGGCCGCTCCGGGCAGATTATCGTCAGGTTATATCAGTTTGGTGCAAAATTAATGTAAGAAATATCACAATAAGTAATTTATACCTCTCTCTTTCAGATAATAAAAATGTTTTCATGATCTTCCGCAATATTCGCACCCATGTTCGTCCCATCTAAAGATCACATTCGAAATATCTTACTGTATGAGTTTCATAAAGGTGTCAATACAAGTGCAGCAGCAAAGTCTATTCAGAGCGCTGATGGAGATGATGCAGTGAATGAAAGAAGTTGCAAGAGGAGGTTTTATCGTTTCCAAAGTTGTCCAAAAAATACAAAAAAAAAAACTTGATTCCGAAAATCCCACTGTTACCTCCAGGGAACTACTTTCAGAACAATTTAACGTAGATCATACAACCGTGTTACGCCAATTAAAAAAGATCGGAAAGTACATTATTTAAATTATTCGGGCTATTGTCCTCATCTTTGTCGCCATATCTATTACAACGTTTCGGCCGTTGTACGCTCCTGCCTTCTTCAGGTGGTTTGAATGTCGAACTTAACCCCATATTTCGTTCACTGGAGTAGTAATAAGGAGTGCCAGAGAAAAGCGATAATAAAAAAAGTTGCAATATGAGCTCTGGCAAAAACATGAAATGATAACAGCAAAATATTGCAATATAAGCAAAATGAGGTAAAAATGGTTGCTGAAGACATTATGTTTATAATAACCAGAAATTCATACACAGATGTCCTCAAGGACACATGGTACAGTGGATAAAGGCGTTGGTCAGATCCAGTGACAGGATCCAAAGAGTGAGTTCAATACCTGGTTAAAACAGTGGGGAACTTAAAGAGGGAAATTAGCAGGAGATAACTGATAACTGACACCATTAAACAGGCTTAAGTTCGACATTCCAACCATGAAGACGGCCGGAACGTTGTAATAAATATGGCGACAAAGATGAGGATGTAACATAATACCTCATCTTAGAAATATAGACAGATACTGAAGGTTTCACTGGTTGGAAAAGGGGTCCTATACGAAATATCTCCAGAGAGGTAGATTTGTTACAAAAGTGGATCTTTACCATAACGTTAAACGCTGCCGATCGTGGATCAGTCGAGGAGGAAGATCAATTCAACAACCATTCAAAGAAGATCATGTTAAGTGTATGGAGGGATATTGAAGGAATTCTCCATAACGAATCAAGCTAAATTCAAAATTAATTCAATCTAATCTGTACTGTGATCAAC